CACATATGGCCTTTATGATGTTGAGATATGCTCCATGTATCCCTACATAGTTGAGGATTCTTATAAAAAATGGATTCTGTACTTTGTCAAGTGCTTTTTGTGTTTCTATTGACAGGATCATATGGTTCTTAGGCCTTATTAATGCAGTGTATTGCATTTGATTTGCAAATATTGAACCAACCCTGAAGTCTGGGAATAAATCCCACTTGGTCATGGTGAATAATTATTTTAATGTACTGTTGGATTTGATTTGCTAATATCTTGAGAATTTTTGCATCTATGTTCATCAGGGATATTGGTATGTAATTCTTATTTCTAGTAGTGTATTTATCTGGTTTGGGTATCAGGGTAATGTTGGCCTCATAGAATGAGTTTGGAAATTTTCCTTCCATTTCTATTTTTGGGAACAGTTTGAAAATAATAGGTATTAACTCTCTTTAATTTGGTAGAAATGCCCCCGGGAAGCCATTTCCCCCTGGACTTTTGTTTGTTGAGGGATTTTGATTACTAATTCAATCTCTTCACTGGTTATGGGTCTGTTCAAATTTTCTACATCTTCCTATTTCAGTTTTGGTAGTTTATATGTTTCTAGGAATTTATCCATTCTTCTAGATGGTCCAATTTTTTCACATATGATTTTTCATAGTATTCTCTTACAATTGTTTGTATTTATGTGTGTTGGTTATGATTACTCCTCTTTCATTTGTGATTTTATTTACTTGGGTCCTTCCTCTTATCTTTTTGATAAGTCTGGCTGGGGTTATCAATTGTATTAATTCTTTCAAAGAACGAGCTTCTAGTTTCATTGATCTGTTTTACTGTTTTTTTCAGTTTGTTTCTATATCATTTATTTCTGCTCTAATATTTATTATTTCCCTTCTGCTGGCTTTAGGCTTTTTTTTTTTTTTTGCTATTCCTTTTCTAGCTCCTTTAGGTATAAGATTAAGTTGTGTATTTGAGACTTTTCTTGCTTTTGAGGTAGCTCTGTATTGCTATATACTTCCCTCTTATGACCATTTTTGCTGTATCACATAGGTTTTGGACTGTCATGTTTTCATTTTCATTTGCTTCCATGTATTTTTTAAATTTCTTCTTTGAGGGGCGCCTGGGTGGCGCAGTCGGTTAAGCGTCCGACTTCAGCCAGGTCACGATCTCGCGGTCCGTGAGTTCGAGCCCCGCGTCAGGCTCTGGGCTGATGGCTCAGAGCCTGGAGCCTGTTTCCGATTCTGTGTCTCCCTCTCTCTCTGCCCCTCCCCCGTTCATGCTCTGTCTCTCTGTCCCAAAAATAAATAAACGTTGAAAAAAAATTAAAAAAAAAATAAATTTCTTCTTTGATTTGCTGCTTAAGCCACTCAGTCTTTAGTAGGATGTTCTTTAACCTCCATGTATTTGTGGCCTTTACAAATTTTTTCTTGTGGTTGACTTCAAGTTTCATAGCATTGTGGTCAGAAAATATGCACAGTATGATCTCAATCTTTTTGTATTTTTTGAGGCTTGATTTGTGATCCATTCTACAGAATGTACCATGTGCACTCGAGAAGAATGTGTATTCTGCTGCTTCAGGATGAAATGTTCTGAATATATCTGTTGAGTCCATCTGCTCCAGTGTGTCATTCAAAGTCTTTGTTTCCTTATCGATTCCTTTCTGCTTAGATCATCTGTCCATTGCTATAAGTGCAGTGTTAAAGTCCCCTAATATTATTGTATTATTATCAATGAGTTTCTCTATGTTTGTGATTAATTTGATATATGTGTTTGGGTGTTCCAGGCTGGGGGCACAAATTGTTAGATCTTCTTGAATAGACCCCTTAATTATGATATAGTGCCCTTCTTCATCTTTTGTTACAGTCTTTGGTTTAAAATCTAGTTTGTCTGATATAAGTATGGCTACTCCAGCTTTCTTTTAACATCCATTAGCATGATAAATGGTTCTCTATCCCCTTATTTTCAGTCTGTAGGTGTCTTTAGGTCTAAATTGAGTTTCTTGTCAGCAGAATAAAGATGGGCCTTGTTTTTTATTATCCATTCTGGTACCATAGGTCTTTTTATTGGAGCATTTAGACTATTTACATTTAGAGCAATTATTGATAGATATGAATTTAGCGTCATTTTATTACCTGCAAAGTCAGTGTTTCTGGAGATTTTCTCAATTCCTTTCTAGTCTTTGTCACTTTTGGTTACTTTCTCACTCAAACATTCCCCTTTAATATTTCTTGCAGGGCTGGTTTAGTAATGACAAATTCCTTTAAGTTTTTGTTTGCCTGGCAAACGATCTCTTCTTCTATTCTGAATGACAGCCTTGCTGGATAAAGTATTCTTGGCCGCATATTTTTCCCATTCAGTACACTGAACGCATCATACCAATCCCTTCCGGCCTGCCAAGTTTCTATGGATGAATCTGCTGCTAACCTTATATTTGTCTTCCTTTGTAGGTTAGGATTTTTTTTCCCCTGGCTGCTTTCAGGATTTTCTCACTATGTCTGTATTTTGCAAGTTTTACTACAATATGTCTCAGTGTTGGCCTGCTTTTGTTGATTTTGATGGGAATTCTCTGTGCCTCCTGGAATTGGATATCTGTTTCCTTTCACAGATCAGGAATATTTTCAGTTATAATTTGGTCAAATAAGCCTTCTGTCCCTTTTCCCCCCTCTCTTCTTCTGGATTCCCATGATACTAATGCTATCACATTTAATGGAGTCACTGAGTTCCCTATGTCTATATTTGTTATCCAGTATTTTTCTTTCCCTCTTCTTTTCAGCTTCATTATTTTCCATAATTTTACCTTCTATATTATTCATTCATTCCTCTGACTCTTCCATCCTTGTGGTCATTACATCCAATCAGTTTTGCGTCTCAGTTACAGCAATTTTTATTTCAGCCTACCTAGATTTTAGGTGTTTTATCTCTGCAGTGATGGACTTCCTGACGTTTTTTATCCTTTTCTTTAGCTCAGCTAGTATCCTTATGATTGTTGTTTTCAATTCTGACTCAGGCATATTACTTATATCTGTTTCAGTTAGATCCCTGCCCCATGACCTTTTCTTGTTCTTTGTTTTGGGATGAATTCCTCCATCCTGGCATTTTGTCTAAGTCTCTGTCTCCTGTGTGTTAGGAAAGCCTGTTATATTTCTTGCTCCTGAGAGTAATGGCTATTTTAAGAAGAGGTCATATACTGACCAGGGCCTGGCGCTTCAGGAAGTGTTTTTGGTGTATGCAGTGTGCACTCTGCTGCTGTGTTTTGGATGCTTTTCCTCTCGGGTCAGTCCTCTGCAGAGTTTCACCTTGTCTGCAGTGGGGAGTGTTTGGACCTTTCCAGTGTGTGGCAAGTTTTAACTAGGTGTGTTTTGGTCTGCTTGTTAAAAGAGGCTGGGTCCAGTTTCCATTCGAATTGAAGCTTTGCAGCACTCTCTGGTCAGTAGACTTGACGGGTGCAGGGGGGTCTGTGCTGGTCCCATTGCTCTGGTTCTCAGGCACACTTGCCCTATGAAAAAAGCACCTGCAGAGTGCAAGGAGGCAGGGCTTAGTGTACATGGCTCAAGCCTCCACTGTGGGCACTGCGCTGCTCACTAAAGTCTACCCATACTGATAGCGGCGGGGGATAGTATCAGCTGGCTCTCTATCCCCTGGAGAAGGAAGTTCCTGCCCACTGCTATTCAGAAAGCCTTCACAGCAGAGTGAACGATCTCACCTCATGTGTCCCAGGCATCACTCAGATTGCCACCTTCACCCTGTGTCTGAGCCTTCTGACCACCCAGTGGTGGAGTGCTCCTGTTTTTTGTTTTTTTTTTTTTTTAATCTCAGGAATGCCAGCTGGGTTTCAAAACTCCAAATTTTAAGGACCTGGCATGGCACAGATGCGCACTGACCTCTGAGGAGGGCCTCCCTCTGCCATCGTTGGTGCCAGTTTGTCCCAGAAGGGCAGTCACATGAACATGCAGGGGCTTGGAGTTTATGGTAAAGCACAGAAAACAGCTGGCATCCAGGTTAGCTGCCTTTAGATGGTGTCTCTGCCCCTATGCTAATGAATGGGGCATCTCAATGGTGCCCACTAGTCAGCTCTTTTGTCACCTGAGAGGCAGTGCCACCTCTCCCAAATGCACTGGGAACTGCCTCTCCCAGTGCTACCCAGGGGATTCTCAGACCATGTTCTCTGCTCCCAGGCCTCTGCCCTCCTCCACAGGAGCACCACTATGCCCATCAGCCTCCACCTGGCCATGGTACAGACTTCTAAACTTCAGACTTTGAGCTCTGCTACTTGTAAAAGCTTGTGATAATAAGTCCCTCCCATTTTTCCTGTTAATGGTTTTGGGGAAGTGTTTTTCTTGTGCAGTCCCCTGTGCCCTGGTCATTCTTTCCCCCCCCCCCCCCCCCCCCTCCTCTCTCTGTGGTCAGAGCTCCTTCCTCTGCAGCACTGGTGATTCTTTTCTCCCCTCAATCATGCTTCTGCCCCTCATAACTTCCCTCTAGTTGGGCAATTTGTTCACTCAGTCCTCAGAGTTATTTCTTGGGTATTGTGGGGGGCCGGGCCCCGGCGCCAGGCTGAGACCGGGTCGAGCAACGTTCCCTGTTGAGTCAAGCCAACCCGGTGGTTCCCCCACCCACTCCCCCACTTTCAAGGGCATACGAAAGCCTTGTCAAGGCTGAGAAAGTTAATTCCTGAAGCCTGTGGTCTGCAGGTGTTGGCAGTAATGCTACCTCCCTTTTTCTACCCCGAGTCAGATAGACACAAACATGGGAACTGTGTTTTGCTAGCAATCTTATCAACAAGGTCTTGTGACCCGTCTAGAAAATGCACAAGAAACACAGAACTAAATGTTTTGGTTGGCAGCGATTATGTGAAACCTGATTATTCTTAGAATGACCTGATCCATAAGAGTCTTATATTATGAAAGATTGTGTACAGCAACAATAAAGCCGTCACTTGGGCCATCAGCCCAGGGGACCCTCCTGTTCCCAAACTTTCTCTTCTCTCTTTTTTTCTTGCATTCCCCTACCCTCAGGACCCTGACCTCGGTGTTTGTCGCGCCGGTCGCGACAAGTGGCGCCCAAACAGGGACCTGAGACAACAAGGAGGAAAGCGAAAGCGGACCGCGCGGCGTCTAATTCAGGTAGGGGAACCGTGCCAGCAGCACAGACGACGGGAGTAAAACTATGGGGCAGAAACAGTCTATGGAACAGGGATGTTTTATAACTGCCTTGCAGGCTGTTATGAAGGAGAAGGGAATTCAGGTTTCTCAGCCAGCCCTTAGGGAATTTTTTGAATAGTGCATGCTTATTGCCCATGGTTTCCAGATGGGGGTACAGTTGATTTAAAGGATTGGCAGCGAGTTGGTCAGGAACTTAAAAATCAAATGAAGATTCTTGGAGCTGCAGTTCCAGGGACTTTGTGGTCTACTTGGACCTGTATTAAGGAGGTCCTTGATCCGCAGGATTCTATTGAAATAGTTTCTCCTAGCTCGGAAGCAGCCCAGCCCTTAGTGACTTCAGATGCTCCTGTCCCTCCAGAAACTACTTTCAATGCCCTTTCGGGACAGTCACGGGTGCCTTCACCTTTACCTCCTCTCCCCCTCCTAGAACAGTTATCTGTGCAAGATCCAGAAAATAATGATGACTCTCCTTTTGGGGATCAGGGAGATGATGGGCCGTATTTGGAAGATCAGAGGAAGCCTGCCTTCTTGGCCCCTCTGGTCCAGAAGGTACCTTTAAAACGACCTTCTTTTCAGGCACAAGATAGAGGCTTACCTCGGCTGGCTTTCCCTATTACTCAGAATCAACAGTCCACTGAACCTTACCCCGTTATGGGAGCTACTCCTTTGCAGCGGACTCTGTATCAAGCAACACAGTATGGGGAAGGCACCTCTGCTTTTCACGCTGACCCTGTTATTCAGCAGGGGGGACAGAGAGTGTACTCCGCCCTAAGTTTTAAATTGCTGAAAGATTTGAAATCCTCTGCAGCCCAGTATGGTCCAACAGCTCCCTTTACCCTGTCTATGCTTGATAATTTGAGCAGGGAGGCGTTATGCCCAGGAGATTGGAAGGTCATTGCTCAGGCTTGAGTGTGGGAGATAACCTCTTGTGGAAAGCAGAATTTGCAGAGAATGCTGAAAACCAGGCTATGTATAATAAAAGAACTAACATACCAGTGGATTTTAACATGCTCACAGGTACAGGACAATATTACGATGTGGGTCTCCAACTGAATTATCCTGAAATTGCGTATAATCAAATTAATACCTGTGCCATTACAGCTTGGAAAAAACTCCCCTCCACAGGTGGCAGAACTGAGGAATTGTCTAAAATTAGACAAGGGCCAGATAAGAAGTACCAGGATTTCGTTGGGCGCCTTTTGACTGCAGTCAGTCGTATCGTTACTGATGGGGAGGCAGGTACCATTACTGTAAAACAACTGGCTTATAAAAATGCTAATTCTGCATGTCAGGCAGCCATTCATCCTTGGAAAAATCAGGGTACCTTGGAGGATTATATCAGGCTATGTGCTGAGATTGGACCATCTTATATTCAGGGCATTACCTTGGCAGCCGCCTTAAAGGGAATAGACCCCTTATAGGTGCATGCCCAGCTTCAGGGTAAAAACGTTAAGAACTAATCCAAGGAAGTTGGGTGGAATAGTGTTATTTCAAATGTGGCCAAAAGGGCCATATGAAGGCCCAATGTCGTAGTAAAGAAATAATTCCAACCACCCCTGGTTTGCCAAGTGGCCCTCACATTAATAATAAGCCGGCAATTATGTGTCCCAGATGTAGACGGGGGTATCACTGGGTCAATGAATGCCGCTCTAAAACTGATTCTAATGGCAAACCTCTTCAGGGAAACCGGAAGCGGGGCCAGCCGCAGGCCCCTCGAACAATTGCGGCAATGTTCCCACAGGCGCCTTCTCACCCATTGTGTCCAACACTGGAGACCTCCCAGGTATTAGCCAACTACACCGCGGTACCCCCGCCAGTGCAGGACTAGATCTTACCCCAGATCAGTCTGTTTACCTAGAAGGAGGACAGCCCCCTAAAGCCATCCCCACAGGGATATGGGGGCCTCTACCCAGGAATACTTGGGGGTTATTATTGGGAAGATCCAGCTGGACTCTTAAGGGATTGATGATCTATCCTGGAGTTATTGATGAAGATTACACTGGAGAAATAAAAATTTTGGCCAGCTTAACTATGGGAACTTTGGTGCTTGAGCCCAAGACTCCCATAGCACAATTGATCTTGATACCCCGGATATCCTCCAATAATAAGGCTGTTAAACCTTATCGGGGAAATCAAGGGTTCGGCTCCACAGATCTTTATTGGGCTAAAGTGATCTCTGTAGAAAAGCCCATGCTTACATTGCATGTCCAAGGAGTCCCTTTTGAGGGACTAGTGGATACAGGTGCAGATGTCTCAGTTATTGCTCAAAAAAAATTGGCCTGTCACATGGCCTACTCAAGTGACTAATATTCCAATTAAAGGTGTTGGTTATGCCTCTGCTCCGTTGCAAAGCTCTGATTATTTACATTGGAGACTGCCTGATGGTATGACTGGAACTTTTCAGCGTTTTGTTTTGAATATAGGTCTTAACCTCTGGGGCAGGGATGTATGAACTGCAATGAATTTGACTCTGGAGACTAAGGCAGTCCCGATTCAAAAACAGACTAATCTTGCTATGCACCTTATGAAGGAAATGGGCTATATTGAGGGGAAAGGCTTAGGGAAGGAGTTGCAGGGGAATCCTGAGCCTTATGTCCCCGAGCCCGAAAGAGACCATTTCGGATTGGGTTTTTCCTAGGGCCATTGGAAACTCCCCACGCTATGCCTCTCCAGTGGATGACTTCCACTCCAGTGTGGGTTAACCAATGGCCCTTACCTACTGTTAAGAGGGAGGCTGCTGTTCACCTCATGGAGGAACAACTGCAATTAGGTCATTTAGTTCCCTCCACCAGTCCCTGGAACACCCCAATCTTTGTGATTAGAAAAAAAGTCAAATAAATGGAGGTTGCTGCAAGATTTGAGAGCAATTAATGCCGTCATGAAGCCCATGGGGGCTTTGCAACCTGGCCTCCCTTCCCCAACGGCCATTCCTTTACAGTATCAATTACTAGTTTTGGACTTAAAAGATTGTTTTTTTTACCATTCCGTTAGCCCCTGGCGACGGAGAACATTTTGCATTCTCCCTGCCTTCCACTAACTTACAGGAACCTGCTCAGTGGTATCAGTGGAAGGTCTTACCGCAAGGCATGGCTAACAGTTCGACTTTATGTCAAGAATTTGTGGCCCGAGCAATTGCCCCTTTTAGACAGAGTTTTCCCCATGTATATTGTATCCATTACATGGATGACTTACTTTTGGCTGCTGAAACTGAGGAATTATTACAGGAGGCTTTTATTTCTCTTCAAAGATGCCTTAAAGCATATAATTTGCTTGTTGCCCCTGAGAAAGTTCAAAGGGAAGCACCTTTTGAATACCTAGGGTATCTCATCTCCAAATCAACTGTCCAACCTCAGAAAGTATCAGTTAGAACCGGACATTTGACTACTTTAAATGATTTTCAGAAATTATTAGGAGATATAAACTGGATTAGAAACACACTAGGGGTCACCACAGAACAATTACTGCCTTTGTTTAATATTCTAAAAGGAGATAGTTCTCCAGCATCCCCGCGAAGTCTCACTCAAGAAGCTAAAGAAGCTATGAGACATATAGAACAGGCCATTTGGCAGGCCCAAGTCACTAGAATTGACCCTTCTCAGCCTTTGTATCTAATAATATTAAAACCTCAGGTCATCCCCTTTGCAATTCTGTGGCAATCTCATGGTCCACTTGAATGGCTACATTTAGCCTTACACTGTATGCATGTCATTAATCCTTTACTATCTATGGTTTGTCTTCTCATCATTAAAGGAAGATCCCGAGCTGTTCACCTCTTTGGACACGATCCAGAATTTATTGCCTGTGCCTTTCTGACACAGAAGCTGGTGGACGCTGCTTTTGCTCAGTCCATCGAATGGCAACTTGCCTTGGCTAATTTTACAGGTCAAATTAAATTTCATTTACCTTCTGATTCTTTAATACAAGGTTTCAATCTTATAGATATTTTGCCCTATAATCCTGTTGTTTGTCAGCCAATTGAAGATGCTGCTTCCATTTTTGTGGATGCTAGTAAAGAGGGTAAAATTGCAGTGTATTATGTCACTTCCCAACATAAAAATTTGATCACTTTAAATTATACGACTAAATCTGTCCAAAGGGCCGAGCTTTATGCTGTACAGGTAGCCCTAAAAACTTACCCGGAATCTATAAATGTCTATTCTGACAGTCAATACGTTGTCAAAGCCATGTTGCAACTTCCCACTGCCTTTATACTGACAGCAGATGAGGAACTTTATCATCTATTTCATGCTATACAAAAACTTCTTAATTCACGGCACAGTCCAATTTATATTTCCCACATTCGAGCTCACACCGATCTGCCTGGTCCCCTAGTTGCTGGGAATCAGATAGCCGATGCAGCAACCCATTTATTTGAAGCTCTGCCCATTACCACTCCTTTGGAAACAGCCAAAAGGAGTCATGATAATTTTCATCAGAATGCGGCAGCCCTTCGACGAGAATTCAAAATATCTCGTGAAGCGGCCAGACAAATTGTTAAACAGTGCGGCATCTGTCCTCAATTCTTCCCACAGCCGGTCTATGCCATTAATCCCCGAGGTCTTCGGCCCAATGACTTGTGGCAAATGGACGTCACCCAATATTTACCTTTTGGGAAATTGCAATATATACATGTGTCTGTAGATATTTGCTCAGGCTATATACATGCTTCAGCCCACTCAGGAGAAGCATTTGTTGATGTTCAAAATCACCTATTTTCTGCCTTTGCAGCAGTGGGCAAACCTCATAAAATAAAAACTGACAATGGTAATGCTTATACTTCTAAATCTTTTACAGAATTTTGCCGCCGACTCCGAATTGAGCATACAACTGGCATTGCTTATAATTCCACAGGACAGGCTATTGTTGAGCGAGCTCATCTGACTCTAAAACAATATCTGCAAAAACTTAAAGAAGGGGAGATATTAAAGGGAAAGATAAAGTACTCCCCACATGTACATCTCACTCTTGTGTTGTATGTTTTAAATTTTTTAAATATCAATGAAGCAGGGATGACTGCCGCAGAGCGTCGCTGGGGAAAGAGTCAAGAACCTCTCTTGATGGCTAGATGGAAAGATATGCCGGAAGGCGTTTGGCGAGGCCCAGACCCAGTCCTTCGAAAAGGGCGAGGGTATGCTTGTGTTTTTCCACAGGATGAGGAAGCGCCACGCTGGGTCCCACTTTGGCTCCTCAGAGACATTACGGTTGCGCCGAAAAATGGCCAAATTGACAGCGACGGAGCCCCCCCCCCAGAAGCGACAACGGCGGAGTCATAAGGCGGGTACACCCACCTGGGGACAGATAAAGAACCTGCTGACCCAGGCCACTGATGTAGTGATGGCCTCAGGTAGAGAGGTAACGGCCACACATGTCTTCTTGGCATGCCTGTGCCTTCTCACTACAACTGGGGAGTCTGCCCTCTACTGGGCATGCATGGTAGGTCCTCCTACAGTACAACCTGTAACATGGAGAGACCCCACACCCAAAGTATACACCAATGTCACCTTTATGGGAGGGGAAGATGCAGGGTTTTTGCCCACTGTGTCGGCCTCTATAAATTGGACAGTGCTCTCTGCAGGAGTACCCATCTGCCTGCAAAGGGAGTCTACGCCGTACAAACTTGCTTATGGGTGTTTGGGTACGAAACCAGTAGGGCGGTCTATTACTTATGCTATGTGGCAAAATGACAAGCGTCCTTCTGAATGGGTACCCCGCTCCGTTGCTGCTTATTGACAAAAGAGAGAATTATTAGGAGAATGGATGTGTTTTGGACCACGTGATTCCCCTCAGAATCTTCCTATATGTCCCTCAGTTGGTCAAGGCCTTACAGGGGACTCACCTTGGGGTAAATGTGCCCAATCCTCTTCATTGAGGATGACTCCTAAAGGCATAAACTATACCATTACAGATTATTCCTGAAAGGCCTGGCATTCATTCCTTCAAGAAACACCTATGGCTATTTTGGAAGTGCAAAGGGAAACAAGGAGACCTTTAGTGGCTCCTTTAAGAGATATGGGTCCACCTCCTAATGAGGTACAGGTACACCACAAGATTATCCCACAAACCATTTTGCAATCCCCTGAAGGAAGAATTCATTCTGATCTTTGGAAATTATATGCTACCTTAGCCGTGATCGTATAGTGGTTAGTACTCTGCGTTGTGGAAATTATATGCTACCTTTGATAAAATATATACTAATGACAGCTTTAGTTTTCCAGAATATTATGTTTCTCCAGTTCTGCAATTGCGTGCCTGTGTTCCTCCACCCTACTATCTGATTGTTGGAGATGGGACCATTACTCCAGTGAAAGAAGATTGTCATCAGTTATACCGGCTGACGTGTCCTGCTTGTGTTTTGACCAATTGTCTACCAGTAGATGGACCCTCTAGAAGTGGAATGAAGGTTTATCTGGTCTTACAACCTCCCTATTGGATGTTGCCAGTAAATGTTACAGGACCTTGGTATCCTAATTATGGGATGCAATTGGCCTTAGAAATCAGTAAACGGCTATGCAGGACCAAACGGTTTCTTGGACTCTTAATTGCTGGGCTCATAGCAGCAGTGACTGTAATTGCCTCTGCAACTGTATCTGTACTATCCTTACATGAAAGTGCCCAAACGGCATCCCATGTAAATGAATTGGCTCATAATGTATCCAAGGTGTTTGCCACTCAAGAACGAATAGACCGTAAATTGGAAGCCCAATTAGAGGCACTACAAGAAGCATTAATGTATCTTGGTGATCAGTTTGCTGTTTTGCGTACCAGACTTTCTTTAATTTGTCATGATACATATAAGCATATCTGTGTTACCCCTTTAGAGTATACCAATGTGGCATGGGGACAAGTGCGTCGTCATTTACAAGGGGTTTGGCATGATGCTAATACTAGCTTAGACCTCTTACAGCTACAAGAAGAGATAAATGCTGTTGCAAGTAGCTCACTCAGTTTCCCTGACCCTGGAGATCTCGCTGAAACCATACTGCACTAACTTAATGGGTTTAATCCATTTAATATTCTTCAGCATTCCTTTTGGATCTTTATTGGAATTGTTTCCGTAATATCTGTTATACTTGTCTTGCTGTGTTATTTCTGGAGATGGGGTCTTACTGCCTTTACCACATACCAGGCCAGGATGCACATGTTGCAATTACAAACAATAGGGGGACATGTGGGGGGCCGGGCCCCGGCGCCAGGCTGAGACCGGGTCGAGCAATGTTCCCCGTTGACTCAAGCCAACCCGGTGGTTCCCCCTCCCATTCATGTGGGAGGCCGGCCCCGGCGCCAGGCTGAGACCGGGTCGAGCAACGTTCCCTGTTGACTCAAGCCAACCCGGTGGTTCCCCCTCCCACTCCCCCACTTTCAAGGGCATACGAAAGCCTTGTCAAGGCTGAGAAAGTTAATTCCTGAAGCCTGTGGTCTGCAGGTGTTGGCAGTAATGCTACCCCCCTTTTTCTACCCCGAGTCAGATAGACACAAACATGGGAACTGTGTTTTGCTAGCAATCT